GTAATAAATCCACCCCCAAATCCCAGAAAATTCATGTGGGATCCAAACCAGGTTGCTTTGGCATGTTCACATTCAAATAAGCAGTGTATAATGGTTTCAGTCTGTTGAGCACAAATTGGACAAATGTTATCATTAGAAAGCTTTCTTTTATCCAGGTTTTCTTTCATTGCTAGAGCATTTTGTGACCATTTCCAAATGAAGTTTCTTATTTTTTGGTCGATGTTTGCTTTCCAGATTTCAGCCCATTGTTTTTTCCCCATATCTACTACAATGACAGAGTCTGTGGTCTCAATGGCTGGCTTAATACTATTTGATACTAAGGCATAGTACCCAGTTTTAACAGTATATAGCCCTTCCAGATTACGGGTCCATTTAAGCTTATCTTCCCAGTTTCCTCTAACTAAATTTACACTCATAATATTTTTAGCAATAGCCTCCCCAAAATTTTTTTCAACAAATCTTGTGTTCCATCTTCTACTAATCTCTACCATGAGGTCTTTAACCTAGATCAGATTTGGGTTATTTGGTCTGGGCCCCATAATTCTAAATGACTTGATCTGATTTAACCATGGGTCATCCCAAATTCTAACTTTAGTTCCAGAATTTACAGCCCAACAATCTCCTTTCTGAAGGACCTCTCTTGCTGCCACCATACTCTGCCAACCCCAGGAACCCTAGTAGGCAAATTATCAGTTAGGAAGTTTCTTCTCTTTAGGTATTTGGCCTTTATAATCTTAACCCACAGGTTATTCTCATCATTACATAATCTCTAGGCTTACTTTGCTAACAAAGCTAGGTTAAAATTATAAGGATCCCTAAACCCCAACCCTCCTGCACACTTATTTTTGCTGAGAACTTCCCAACATACCCAGTGTGTTTTCCTCTGTTCCTTTGTTCGCCCCCCCACCAAAATCTAGTTTGGATTCTTTTCAATTCATTACACACTTCCTTTGGAAGGAGAAAACAGGACATTGTGTAATTCAAGATTGCACTGGTCACTGCTTTAATCAAAATTTCTTTCCCACCTTGAGATAGAAGGGATTCATGCCATTTAGAGAGCAATTTTCCAACCCTTTCAATTAGGAAATTGAAGAGGGTTTTCTTTGATTTACCAATTTTGTGAAACCCTAAATATATTGAAGGAGATTCTATTCTTTTCATTTTTAGAAATCTTGCCAACAACCATTATAGTCTATGATGCAAATTTCTACTGAAAAAACCTCAGATTTGGAGAAATTTACTTGCTGCCCTGAGGCCTCTTTATAAGATTTGAGAGCATCCAGTATATTTTTCCCTTCTCCCATCTCTACTTTAGAAAATATGTAACTATCATTTGCAAAAACAAGTGAGAGAATAGTTGGACAGTTTCTAGTAATTGAAATGCCATTTATTTTCTTTTGGGAAGCAAGCTCTGTGAGCTTTGCAAACAGAGTTTCAGAGCAAAGTAAAAGGAGATAGGGGAGAAAGGGTCTCCCTACCTCAACCCTCTTTCTGGGACAAACTTTCGTCCAGGGTTTCCATTGACCATGATCCTATAAGAGATAGTAGACACATTTCATGACCCAACTAACCCACTTTGCTCCAAATCCCATCTTTATTATAGTTCTCTCTAGAAAATTCCACTCCACCCTATCACAGGCTTTGCTCATATCAAGTTTAATTGCCATCCAAGGGGTTCTCTCTCAGGTATTTTTCATAAAATGTATAATTTCATGAGCTACTATGATATTGTCTTGTATGTATCTGCCTGAGGTAAAGGCACTCTGATTTTCACTAATCAACCTTCCTAGCAATGGCTTGATCCTATTAGCTAGAACCTTTGCTATGATTTTATAAATAGATTTGCATAGGCTAATAGGTCTGAAATGAGCAGCTTCCTCTAGGTTTTTGATTTTTGGGATCAAGGCTAGATAAGTTTCATTAAACTCTCTAAGCAAACATCTAGACTCAAAGAAAGCTTTAACAGCCTTAATCACATCATCTCCTATGGTTCCCCAAAATTTCTGGAAAAATAGATTTGGGAACCCATCAGGACTTGGAGCTTTCTTAGGAGCCTTTTGGAATAAAGCCTCCTTTATCTCTTCATTAGTGACTTCTCTTTCTAAGAAATCTTTTTCCTGCTGACTCAATTTTGTTGTTACACAACTAAGAAATTCCTCTTGATGTACTGGTTTCGAAGAGATGAAAATATTCTTGAAATGGTTCTCCAGCTCCATAGAGGTTTCCTCTTCTGTAGATAACCATTCCCCATTTGCAGCTTTGAGAGATATTATATTCGTACAACTCCTTCCTTTTTCTACCGAGTGAAAGAATTTAGTATTTTTGTCCCCAACTTCCAGCCAAGTCACTCTGGATTTCTACAACCACATCAATTCCTCCCTCCTCAACCAAGAATTCAGACGCTTCCAGGAAGTTTACTCTATTTTGATTAAATTCTTTTCCTGATTTCTTCACCTCCTCACAAAGCAGATCTTTGACTTCTTGAATTTTCTTTCTCATGTTGCCAAAAGTTATTCTATTCCACACTTTGAGTTGGTCCTTCAGAGCCTTACACTTTATTCCCAACTTCATTTGACTGTAGGGGTGTTCACGGGTCGGGTTGGGTCGGTTTCTTGGGATTTTCCCAACCGACCCGACCTTGTCGAGTTAGCTAAGGTGGGAACCGAAACTGACCCACTGACAGGCCAAACTGACCTGGTCGGTTTGAGTCGAGTTGGGTCGGTTTCGGTTTTACTCCTGTGCAAAGCCAAATAAAATATGAATTAGTTGATAATTTGATATTCAAGAGTCYAAGATAAATCTAAATTTAATCCAGGTAAAGAATAAAATCAATAAATTCTTCATATAAAAACAAGTGTCAATAATGGGCCTTCTAGAGTAAAAAACTAGGTAAATCTAGGTAGGTAAATCAATAAAATAAAAATTTAGAAACCTTCTAAATTCTAATCTAAGTAAAAAACTAAGAAAGGACACCTAATTGAATTCTAATTGTAATTGCCTAATGGGCCTTYTAGAGTTCTAGTTCTAGTAGAAGTCTAAAAGTAGAAGACTAGTAGGAATTAGGAAACTACTCAAACTAGGAAGTAGGAACTACCAAACTAGTAGAATACTAGTTTGGTTCGGGTCGGGTTGGTTTCGGTTTTCACGCAAGAAAACCGAAACCGACCTGAGATTTCGGTTTATGTATGTGCCCAACCTGAAACTGACCAGTACGGATGAAAACCCGGCCGACTCGGGTTGGGTCGGTCTGGTTTGGTCGGGTTGGGCATTCTTATGAACAACCCTATTTGACTGGATCCCCTACTACTTGTCCCTCAAGTTTTCTCTAACAGACTTTGGAACTCCTCATGGTCTGTCCACATTTCCTCAAACCTAAAAATTTTCCTCCTTGTATAGTTCCCTGTGACAGTTTCTAATAGGATTTGGAGGTGATCTGAGCCTAGGGTAGCTAAAGTTTTAATCCTGTAGTTTGCAAAATGGTTTTGCCATTGAGAGTTACAGACCACCCTATCAAGTCTAGCTCTAATAAGCTTGTTTCCTTCCCTTTTGTTTGACCAAGTGAAGGTTGGACCCTCACTTTGAACTTCATGTAAACCACAGTCCTCTAAGAAAGTCTTAAATTTCAGAAATTGGGATTCATTGTAGGTTCTACCACCCTCCTTCTCAAAGTCATATAAAATAAAATTCAAGTCCCCAATACAAACCCAAGGGCCTGTAACAAGTTTAGCTAAGTTACTCCACTTGTTTAGGAAAATATTTCTTTGGTCTTCTTTTTTGTTCCCCATAAATGAAGGAGCAGTGCCATATCAGCCCCCTCTTAATGGTAAATTCAATATGTATAATTTTTTTGTCAGGAAAAAGAACATTTCCTTCAACTTTCTTTTTCCAAAAAAGAGCCAAGCCTCCACTAAGGCCTACAGAGTCTACCCCCAACCTTTCTGGTCCTTGACCCACTTAATAAGTCAGGATTTCGGTTTAAGCGTCTAACCTTCTAAGTAGAGTACCAATAGGATACCCGATTTGAAAATTTTATTCAAATTTTAACAAATTCCCAAACCGATATCGTGCCTTACATAACGACCATTCAAATATTTATTTTACCAAAAAAAATAACAACGTCTTATAATTGATCACCGTGATTGATAGAGTGAACTCAAATTACCCCATTTTTTTGGTAAGAGATTGATGGATCACTTTGTACCAACATCCTATCATCTGCATTGAAAACGAATTTGATCCCGCAAGACTATCCTCACATCGTCCTCACATTCTATTACAGCTATGGATTGGGAATATCTTCTATTAGAAAATAGACAAATATAAAAATATTCTCAATATACAGTTGTAAAAGATGGAAATTGGATTCAGTCCGGGCAAAGCCCGTTCTAGCGCTTTTACTATTTTGCATTGAGAATATATCTATACTTATATGCTTTATTCTATAGGGAAATATTCTCAATGCAAAGTTGCAAAAGGCTGTGAAAATGGTGTGAATACAAATTTACCCTTATGGAAGTTGATTTCCTCTAAAGACGATAAACAGTGAAAATGATTTTGTGAGGAATTGAAATCTTCTATCAATAAAAGAAATTTCAATTGATCTAATACCATACATCTAATTATTATGAGAGTGGAACAACCATATAAGCTCATGTTGGTAGAGGGTTGGAACGTGTTTTATTCGCAGTTGATCCGAATTCTTCTGCGGGTACCAAATCCGATCTCGTCCGGGTGGCATAATCGTGTGTTGTCAAGGAATCATGAAGCGGCTCTCGTCCACTCGGGAATTGGAGAGGATTTGGGATGACTTTCTTACACAAACAAGTACTTCTGTCGTGGAGCTGTGGTGGAAGGCTGGAAGCAGGAAGCGTCTCAAAGTAAATCACGCCACCAGGACGGGTATCCTGGTCATTTCACTGCTTTAACCAACACGTGTTCATCTCATCTGATTTAGAGGTTATAAAAATCGCGTAATGGCGCCAAGCTACAAATCTTGCAGGAGTGGGACAGGTCAATTGGTTTGTTCTTCTGTCTCTTGCTCGCTGTCTTCTGCCTGTTCAGCGCTTCTCCTCTCCTCTCCTATCCGTCTGATCTTTCTTGGCTGGTTGGATCTTAATCAGGTTATTATTTATCTTGTCATATTTTTCCTCTTCTTTTTCTTTTCTCTCTCTAGATATTATACAATTCTTTCGTTGCTTGAATCTTGGTTCTTATCTTCTATACGGATAGGGATGGACTGCTTATACATAGATTTCCGAAATTGTGGAGCTACTTGGAGGTGTAAATTTTTCTGAATTTGGTGGATATTTGGGCTAGATATTGCGGATTCTTTCTTTTTCCTGCTCTTTCTGCATTAATGCGGTTGTTGGTTTTTGCTCAAATTGGCTTAGGGTTGGATGTCAATGGTGGAATTTGATTATTGCATGACATAGTCGTAATTCTATTATTGGCGAAACTATTCTTCTCCCCCCTTTGTAGCTCTAAGAATTTAAGGAAAAAAATATGTTTTTTCTTGAAAAAAATTGGATATTTTGACCTAAATTCGGTTGTGGAATCCTACTGAATTGTCAATTGAGGGGGTATTGCGATTGATTACACTGTCCTTTTGGATCCTCAATTCGGGTTGGTTTCGCTGGTAGAAATTGCGTCAGCGTAGTTAGTTCTAGGGCTGTCTCAGATTTCGTGGCTCTATTTCGCAAGAAGTTTGAAGAGGGGTTTGTAAAATATAATACCAAACTGTTCTCCTGGTCCTGGCCTGTCAAAAATGGTGGATTCAATTGCGACGACTTCCCTTCTTGGGCACCGGTCAGTGTGTCAAGGGTTTCCTTCCAAGGATATATCCTACAAAAGAGGAATATCGGATTTCTGTCAGCTCCCCACAACAGATTTTGTGGGTAGACGGGTTATCTGTTGTACTTCATCTTTGAGTCCATGGAAAAGTAAAAGGTGGGAAGCTGATCGAGTTTCAGTTTCTTCAATCAAAGCCCTTTCAATGGAGCTGACGAGGGAGACGTATTCATATAGAGAAGAAGAGAGAATACCCCGGAATTTGAGGTCCTCTACCGGTACGGGTAAACTTAAGAAGCAAGGGTTGTGGCCACCTTCAAACAAGGCGGATAACCCTTCACTACACAACCCGTTGCTTCGACAGGAAAGAATGGGTTGCGATGGTTAGGTGCAATATTTGAATGGGAAGGGGTGATAATTGAAGATAATCCTGATGTTGAGAATCGAGCTTGGTTGGTTTTGTCCCAGGAGGAGGGGAAATCCCCACCCCCAAGCTTTCATCCTTAAGAGAATAGAAGGGATGAAAAATGAGCAGGCACTCTCTGAAGTTCTCTGCTGGTCAAGAGATCCAGCACAGTTAAGAAGAATGGCTTTGAGAAAGGAGGAGATATACCAAGGTTTGCAAGGTGGGATCTATAGGTTGCGTACAGGTTCACAAGAATTCGTGAATGTTCTGATGAGCAACAAGATCTCGATGGCCTTGGTTTCTACCCGTCCAAGAAAGACTCGAGTTTGCAATTGGAGCTATTGGGATTGAAGGATTTTTCAATGTGATTGTCACAGCAGAGGATGTATATAAAGGGAAGCCTGATCCTGAAATGTTCATGTATGCAGCTCAGGTACTCAACTTCATACCAGAGCAGTGCATCGTGTTTGGAAATTCCAACTCGACAGTGGAGGCTGCACATGATGCTTGTATGAAGTGTGTAGTTGTTGCAAGCAAACATCCCTTGTATGAATTTCGAGCTGCAGAGTTGGTTGTGAGGTACCTTGATGAACTCTCTGTGGTTAACCTGAAGAACCTAGCTGATATTGAATTAGCTGAATTCGGGTCTGGAGAACAAGAGGCTGAGATGGAGACAGAAGGTGATGATTCTTATCCTTCTACACAAGTGGCGGTTGATGATTTATGGTAAATCCTGCAATTGTGTACAGTTAGGTCTTCGTGCTTCATCTATTTCTTTATGATGATCACAACTTGGGCCTTAAAGTCTCTCTCAGCTATGTATATTGGTTTTACAGTGGATAAAGTTAGGAAAAAAGACAAAAGAAAGAAAAATGGAAACTGGGTGGTCTGCATTGGACTACCCTTACTATTGTTATGCATGTAACATATGTGCAATACGTTTGTTTCAAACTCTAAATGTGTTATTACCACATGTTCTGTTCTAGATGAAATTTAGATTATCATATCGCTCATAACTTGGATATTTGGTTGGCTAGGAGGGCAAACGATGATGTATTTTCCCAAGGACTGAACAAATGAAATTGTTCACAGTGGAAATATCTTCATTTGATTTTCCATTATTCCTCTCTAGATGTTTGTCTGGTTGTTGCAAAACAGGCATTCTTCCACTGCATATCACTTTCCAGTTATCTGTTAAAAATACTTTGGCATCAATTCCATTCAGCCTCCTTGCCACCTATTGTCATCAACTTCCTTCCACATGCTGCTAAGAGGATCGTTGTTTATCTAAGTTGTAAGCTGGTTTCTCTATTGCTTCTTTGATATGACCATTGTCAACCTACTTGAACTCCCAATTACAGCCTTTCCCTGTTCTGATAAGAAAAAGAGAAAAAGAAATTGCTTCCATTATGATAGTCCTTCAATTCCCTGTCTGAATGTTCAATATACTTGTTGTAATTGTGCTTCTGACAAGACTTTTGACAAATTTCAGCACTTACCTTTCAGGTGTCTGGATGAGTCTGCAGGACCTGTAACCTAACTGGATAAAACAGTAAACTCATCCATTGTATATACTCTGAGTAATACACTGCTTTTGTTCAGAAAAGGTAAGCACCGCTGTGTTAGGATGATCCTGGATCCAGATGTTACACTAACCTTGGATTCTTCTGGAGTCTAAAGCCTTCACAATTGGTCACAAATTCTGACTGTCAAATGAGATAATGTTTTCTATGATTTTCTGGCAGCATTATGCCCATGTTGTGCATCTGGCCCCAAAGTAATTGGTTAGGAGGGTCAAGGAAAGCATTTTGGTATGCTTCTTTTGTACTTAAGTCTGTCTCATGTGTCCTTTTGTTTCACACTCTGCTTCTTCTCTACCGAACCAAAATCTTTAGCACAAAACCGTTCTTGACAGCTGTGCAATAGGGGATGCATTTTGCATGCTCATGGTGAACAAGTAGGCCATGTTTTCCATTTGTAAGTGTTTGGTTGGTGGAGCGTTTATTTGGCTTTAGATAGTAGTGGTCTACTTCAGTACGATATGCTACTCAATGAATAGCAGAGTTCATGATGAAATAAAACTTTTTTATCTCTTAGACTCTTACAAATTGAATTTTTATTATAATTTTATCTGAGTTCTCTATGAGAGCCTTTATGTAATAAATATTTGATAGAAGTTGGTAAAATGGTGTTTTTCTAAATAATATTAAATGCATTATTTGTGCTTTTCTCTCCTCATATACCCTTGTTCCAACAACCAACTACAATTTTGGGCTAGGCTTAAGCCCACCTCACTGTGATAATTCATCAGAGGCCAGACAACTGCTTGGCTCCATATCCGATTTTGGGCTAGGCTTAAGCCCCACTGTGGTAAATCCATCAGGGGTTGGTTTCTTTCTTGATCCCTTCTCGTGTATGGCTTTAAAACACATTAAGTTATAAATACAAGTAGAATGAATGACTACCAAAAGTAAGACATCCTATTCCAATCTCACAATTCAGAGAGGTCGGATTTTGCCTTCACAAAATTTGTCCTCAGAGGCCAGACACAACTGCTTGGCTCTATATCCGATTTTGGATAGGGGTGATCATGGGCTGGGCCAGGCCTAGGCCGGGCTTTGCACTTATGATAAGGGCTATAGATTAGGCCCAGGCCCGGCTCGGCTCAGGGTTTCGGGCCTGAAACATAAGCCCTAGCACAGGTATATACGGGCTTGGGCTTGGGCTTGGGCTGGGTCGGGCCTGATTTTGGGCCAATGTCACTCGTATATAAAACATTACAGATCTATATATTAAATGACATAACATGCATATAAACTTATTATATACATTATATAATACAAAATGTTACATATAATATAAATTATACATGTCATGTTATAATATATATATATAATGTAAAATAACATGTATATATATGTATACATTATACACAAAATGTGTAAGTTTAAATATATGCAGGTCGGGCTTGAATTATTAAGCCCATGCCCAGCTCTAAAATTTGTAGGCTTGATGTGGGGTTGGGCCTGAACACAAAACTTAGGCCCAAGCTCGGAATTTTCGGGTCACCGGGCTGAAATGATCACCCCTACTCAAGCCTAGTTGCTGGGGTAAACCAAGCACAAGCTAATCACGGATTGGTCGAAGTCATTTAGAAATCATAAGTAGGGGTGCAAGTTGGGCGGGTTGGGCCAGGTTTATGGTCAAGCCAGGCTCAACCCTAAAATTTGGGCTTAAGGCCCGAGCCCGGAGTGAGTCCGTCCGAGGTAAAGCCTGATCTTTTCAACCTGAGTTTAGTCCTTGGGTTGGTCAATGAATCCTCTCTAAAATTATATATGTATGTATGTATGCATTTATGCAAATATATATATATATATATATATATATATATATATATATATATATAAAAATTGGTCTATCCACATCACCATACCTCTCCTTGCTTCAAACCCCCTTCCTAATTTTTTGTTTTTTTTGAATTTTTTATTTTTTAATTCCATATAATTACCCATTAAACCAACAAGGAAATCACATATGCTTAACTATTTCTAACAACCATAAAGAAATAGGGATTTGTTTTTCTAATGTTTAGCCTAGTGGCACCACTTTCCCCCACTTCCTCCTAAATTGTCTCTAATTCCTATTTATCTCCTAAATTATCCCTAACCCCTATTTATCTCTTAAATTATCTCTAATTTAGTAAAGAGATTCTCTCTAAAACTATCTTTACTTCATATTTATCCTCTCCCCCACTTTTTATCTATATCTATCTAAAGAAAGTTTCAATTAAAAAAATTCAGAACTATTTAAATGTTACAACGAAATTATATAATAAATTTAAAATATTTATTCGAAACACAAAAATTAATAGATTTAATAATATTCATATTATTAATAATTTAATTTTTTTTACAAAATTCATCATGAAATTATGTAGTAACAATATAAATTATAATTTTACGAATTATTCAATTTAAATGTTATTCAAATAATAAAAATTTAACATTAAAAAATAACACTATTTAAATATTTCAATAACTAGAAATCTTAAATAAAAAACATCAAAAATAGCTAAATAATATAACAAAATATTTAATATTATGTAATAACATTAAAATAAATAAAATTCAAATAATAAAAATTTTTAAATATTTTACATATGATTTAAATATTTAAATAACAAAATATTTAACATGACAAAATTTTAAATAGTTAAAATAATAAATTAAAAAAAATGATTCTTCTTAAAAGTAGAAAAATAATTATAAGAGAATTCAGAATATTCATATTAATAATAATTTAATATTTTACAAAATTAATAACGAATTATGTAATAATAGTACAATTATAATTTTATGGAYTATTAAATTCAATAAATAATTAATATCTTAAGAATTTAAATAACAATATTATTTCAATAACTAAATAATATTTTAAATAACTAATTTCACTTATATCAAT